GGGTTCCCGGCCCCGGCGGCACCGAAGTACTCCTCCGCAGCCCTCCTGCTCCAGCTCTTCTGAGCGGGGCTTGCCCTTTGCACCACTGTGCCTCCATCCCGCCGGGTCACGGAGCCTCTCCTGGGCAGCGTCTCTCCCCGCTTGGCTCCATCGGGCGGGAGCCAGTTCATTGCAGACCCCAGCGTGGGGGGCCACGGCCTTAATGTGCTCGCTGGGAGCAGCCCCAAAGCTGGCAGGCACTGTAGTCCAACCCTGCCGTTCCCTGTGGTGGCTCTTGTCTGTACCTCCGCACAACAGTCCCCGTGATAATCCTCCCTTTTTCCTCCCCAATTATACCAGTCATTTCCCCTGGGGCACCACAACAGTTGCTTTATTGAAGGACACACTGATCACAGCACAGCACAGACACCGTAAGAGATGCAATTAGCCTGGCACAACCCCCTTCAGAAAAGCAACGTGGCCCTTTTATTCCATTTACTTTGCATCGTTCTTTCCCTTAGAAAGGCAGTCTAAAGCCCTGCAGGCCGGGCGTTGCACACTCTGGTAACAGGCAGATTGAAAAGGTTTTTGACTTCCCCGAACAGTCGCTGAAGAGCCTTGCTCTTGCCCGGCCATTGAGCATTCCATGCAGCCTGGCATAGCCCAGAACTGGCCACCGTCCCCTCCCTGTTCTAAGCCAGCAAGTGGTGAGACAAGGCAGCCGACCTGCCCCTGGCAGACGCAGCACACCTGCTGGCCATTCTGCTGGCCTTGGGGCAGCCCCAGGAGCGAGACCCCAAGAAAGCTCCAGCCTTGGGGTGGAAGAGCTGGAGGCAGCTGGCAAAAGAGGGAAGAATCAAGGTCTGCCATTTGTCAGGCAAAAGGTTCAAAGATGTCCCGCTGCGTACTGAGGTGGGATGGTGCAGATTTGTGTCCCTGCAGCTCACTGGCACCTGTCACGCCTCCTGCACAGGAGATGGCTCCTCTTACCCCATCTATTTCTGCTCTCCCAACCTGGCCCCATTTTCCATCGGCAGAAGAAGGTGTGTTAGATCCAACCAGTTGCTTGGAGAGTGGAGCTGCTGGCTGTGGCTGATCTCTCTGTGTCAGCAGGATCCACCTGATGGCTGGACGGGTTCCCCTGGGCACAGACCGGGCAGCAGTGGCAGGCAAGATGGAAACCACCTTCATTGAGAATCTCAGATACGCTGCTGACCTCCTGGCCCAGGTAAGTGGGGAACAGATCCTGCTCCGTGGGTGCGGCTCTTAGGGTACCGAGGATGGAGAATCCCCCAGCAGCCTGGCATGGGGAGGGAGTGCTCCCTGCTGCAGTGGTGACAGGATGCTCCGCAGGGTGACATTACTGTGTTACAGGAAGACATGATTGGACTGGTGGAGCCTATTAACAACCGCATCACCGACCCTCGCTACTTTCTGAACTCCCCACACCAAGGTAAGGCAGACATCTCTCCCCAAAGTCTCCTTCAAGGGAAGAGAAGGATCCCCAAAGTCTGAAAGGCAGGAGGTTGCCCCACCTGCAGGGAGATGCTGAGGGAGCACAGCTGATGAACGGGAGTCTTGGAGCTTCACGATGAAGCTTCCAGCCTGGGGATGATGGTCTCTCATTTCTTGCACCCTTAGCTGCTGCCATGCTGGAGAAGGTGGGACGGCCCAACCTGAAGCTGCAGCTGGTGAGTCAGCATTGAAGATCTCCAGGGTCCACCCTCCACCAGGAAACCTTGCCCACAGCCCCTGAGACTTCCCTGTGGGCCTGTGCTTGTTATCCCCTCCTGGGGATGTGGGGAGGGACAGGGACTGTAGCACAGCTGTCCTCAACCGCTCCCTTGTGAACAGCTGCACCATCAGTCTCCTCTCTCTCCCACAGGACCTCTTTCACTGCCAGATCATGGACGGGAATTTGTCACGCAACCTGGAGACATACTTTCCACTCATCGGTAACACCCTACACCCAGACCGGCTCCTCTGTGGCTTTGAGATGGGGCCCTACTGCCCCACGCTCTCCTGTGGCTGGGTAGGGGCAAGGGTCTGCTCTTGTGTCACCTTGTCCCATGCCTAGAGAAGGCTGCAGGCAGGGCTGCCTTGGGCAGAGCATCTCCCATTCCCTCCCTAGGTCACATCCAGATTGCACAGGTGCCAGGGCGGCACGAGCCCAACAGCCCTGGGGAGTTGAACTTCCCCTACATCTTTGAGCTCCTGGAGTCCCTCGGCTACACTGGCTACGTGGGGTGCGAGTATGCTCCGAAAGGTGAGCGGGCCTGGGTGCTGTGGGTGGTCCGAGCCCCACTGGCAGGTCCCAGCATGGACCAGTGGGCTGGGGACTGTGCAAAGGCACGCACGTCCTGGGGAGGGGCAGGCAGTGGGCATCCGTGTTCCTACCTGGGGATGAGAGCCCTGCCCAGAACAGCAGCTGCTCCAGCTTGCCTGGGGGTGCCAGCAGGAGACCTTGTCTGCCACTGCAGGAGACACTCTGGAAGGTCTGGGTTGGCTGCGCTCGTACTGGGAGAGCCGAGGCCTGCAGCATGGTGGGACCAGCAAGGCAGCAGAGTAAACCAAGAAAAACGCTGCAATAAAAGTCAAAGCAATGGCTTAACAGAGGAGCATGTCTGTCTTCTCTACGACTTGGGACAAAGTTAGGAGCATATATGTCTTATTGCCCTTTCCCAGGCCCTTGGGCCAGCCCAAGCAGTTGGACCCTCATCTACTCAAGCACCATCTGCACCACATGATAATTTTGGGGATGGCCTGACCACCACTGTAGGTGACTTGAGGTACACAGGAGCATCTTCACCTCCAGTCTGCAGGGGTGTCCAGGGAGAGCTCTCCAGTCCCCCCTGCTGAGGGGAGCACGAGTTTTCCTAGTTCGGCTCCAGCTGGTGCCTGGAGTTATGGGAAGAGGGCTCTGGGCTTCCAAGTCCTGCAGTCCTCAAGGCTGCTGCCAGTGCCCAACACTGAGCCTGCAGCAGGTGGGGAAAGTGAAGCGAACAGCCCCTTCGCAGGCTGCCCGAACCGAGGTAACAGGCTGGGGGCTGACTGCCCTACTGCTCCTGCTCCACAGCAAGTATGAGACTCCAGTGCAAACTCAGCCAGTCCTGCAGCCAGGGTTGCCCCTGCATCCCCTATGGGAGGCCTTCCACATCCTAGCCTATGGCATGTGAGTGGGGATCTGGTTCAGTTTATTTCATAGATATATCAATGGCTTTAATGTACATCTCCATAAAACCTTCCCCTGGTCCAATTCACCCTTCCTGTCCCATTCGGTGCTCTCCTGATAAAAGCAAAGGGCCAGAAGTAGGCAGCCTCACTGCCCAGAGCCCTGAAGTCCAGGAGTCTTTCAGCCTAAAGCCAGAGCGCTGTGCAGTGCTGCCCTGTGCAGAAGACGTGATATGTGTGCTTCTCCGTGCCTTCCCAGCAGGCAGAACTCACCTGCAGATGCCAAAGCCATGTCCCTGAGAGCCGCTCTGCTTCAGCCAAGCCACAGCAGCCAAGCTCCTGCCCTTGTGGTTCGGTTCAAAGTCATTCAGTATCAAACCCACCGAAAACAGCGCAGCAAGGGCCACATCAGCCAGCCAGCAAAGATGGAGGTACAGCTGGGGCTGCCCTCGCACATCCCCAGGCTCCTCAATTCAGTACCCATGCGTGCCGCTAGCAGCGCTGCCTGCAGTGCTGGAGCACAGGTCCCCCCCAGAGGCCTGTTCTTCCCCATCGTCACCCATGGCACAGCCGTGCCGGGAGGTCCGGTATGTGTATTGTTCCAGGATGTGGGTGCCACTGCTAGAGCAGGCCTGTCCAGAGGTTGAAGCAGGCAGTGTTGATAACTGACTCCAGGTGGTGGTATGTGGACACAAGCTGTGGCAGAGGGCTCTCGCTGTTCTGGGGCTGCACTGGGAATGGCTCCCTGAAAACCACGGTGAGGCTCTGCTGAGAAGAAAAAGCAGGTCAGGGAACAGGATTCTGTGGTGTCCTTAGCCCAGATGCGTGGGCACTTGCTTGGCCATGTCAGGCAGATACTGGGAGAAGTCCCAAAATGCCAACAGCACTAAGCTAGTGCCTCCTCCTGTGACAGAGCATGTTTGAGCCTCCACCCAATTTTCCTGGTGGAAATTAGGTGCAAGAACTTGCCCACTCCCTCTGTCCCAGCCCCCATGCATCTGCAGTTATACCAATCCCAGCAGCAGCCTCAGGAAAGGAAGGGATCCTACTGCCTCCACAGTAATAGGGGCTTCCAGGGAAATTAGAGGGAAATTTCTTCCTCTAAGGCAAAGAGTAGGAGTGCAACAAATGGGGAAAGGGAGGAGATTAAACATAATAACTGCAATCCTAAAAATAAATGCTGGCTGCTCCATTCTCATTAGGGACTGTACTGACAAGGCAGGGCAAGGGCAGAGTGGGGCAGAGAACAGGGTTCAGAAGAGAAGGTTGCAGCAGCTGAAGCAGAAGAAAAACACGAGCAACTCAGTGCACTGAGATAAGCGTCATGGAGGCAAGACGTTCTCCAGAGCTGAAATGCAGCACATCTAGTAGCCAGGGTCCCCTAACAAATTCATAAAGCCATGAGAACAGCTGTGCAACTGCAAAACATCAAATGCACCACCATCATTTAAGAGCGAAGAGAAAGTGATTTGTGAGCATAACTCTGGCAGCGTGCAAGGCTTTAGAGCAGGCTTGGAGAGAAAGAACCAGAAGGAAAATGCAGCTCAGTGTTACCAAAGTGATGCGCTAACGCTGGAGTTCTCTTTGATAAGGTAGTATTTCTAGATAAAGGAATCATGGTATATCTTATCTGAGCTTCAGGAAGGATTTGATGTAGTGCCACATGGGAAATTTAGGTAAGCTGAAAAGATAGGAATTAATGCAAAAATTATAAGGTGAAAATGGTAGTGCTGAAAGGGGAAGTAGCAGGCTGGAGAGAGGTTACAAATGGAGTTCCTCCAGGACAGGTTTTGGGACTTATATTGCCTAGTACTTTAATGAGTCTGGCACAAAGATGAGGACCATGCTGATAAAATTTGAGGCACTAATACAAAAGAGGATTGGGATAATGCAAAAAAAGCCCTAGAGACTTTTGAGAGGCCACAGGAATGGGATGAATGTTAAGCGTGAAATACACTGTAAGGAACACGAAGGATTTCTATTATAAGATGGGAATCATTGGGAGAGGCGATGGAGTGTCTGGGTGTGTCATATCAGTGACCACAAGATGACACTATGATCAGTGAGACATGACAATGAAATGGCAAATACCACCCTAAGCTGTACCAAAAGGACTGGGCAGGGACAGAAAAGCCTTAGTGCAATCGCAGAAGGTTTTGCTGAGACTCCTCAGAAATACTGGGTGCAGTCCCAGATACCTGTATTTACAAAGGCTGACCTGAGCCCTGAAGAGCTCTGAAGGGCTCTGAATGACAATGAAGCCATTGGAGAAGGGAAGGCAGGCTTAACAGCTTGGCTTGCTTAACACAGCAACACAAAGTTAATAAAAATTCCACATTCAGATGTGGAGGTGAATCTAGGGGACCAGGGAGGAAGTGGGTACCCAAACAGTGAAGAGAGGGTTCAGCTCTGAGCTACCACTGGCATGAAGAGGATAAAACTGGCCACAACAAAAGCTCTACCACAAAATGGGAAGGGCTTTTCACCATCAGGTAGCAGGAGGCACTGAGCAGCCTTCCAGCAGGCACCACCTCTTCTGTCTCTACCTGCTTTTAAGATGGATTGTGATTTATTTACAAAGGGATCAGATATGCTGCAGTCTCTACAAAAGCCTCACTGTAGACTGAGGCATTTTGCAGATCCCCCACTCTCACATGGAGCTGCATTCCCTGTGACCCATCCTGCACCCTGCCTGCGAGCACAGCTGAAAGCAGAGTATTTTTGCCCTCAAGTCCAATGAAGGCCAAGGCCCTTGCAAGTTTGCTGGGACCCTCACAGTGCAGGTCCCCTTCCTTTCTGCCCAGGTAGGAGCAGCCTGCAGCACTAGTGACCCCTCCCAGCCAGCCCAGCATGCTCTGGCTTTGGACTGAATACAGAAGGACTCTTTAGCCTGGATAGAGAGACAGTTGAGAGCATGATCCAAAAGCAACTCTGTGAAGCAAAAGGGGATCAACTGCTCACTGTTTTCCAATACAAGAACAAAGGGGCATCAGATGAAAAAAGCAGAAGGAGATGCAAATACAAGCCAAGGAAGGTAGCTCTTCACCTAGGCTGTAATTGCATCATGGAGCAGCAAGTCAGGGGAAATCATGGATGCCACAAATTAACCAAAGGAAATAAAGCTGCGGAGGGCTGTTAAATAAATGCAAAGGCCACCTCTAGCTCAGGACAGGCCTGGGCCACAGTTTGTCAGATGTTGGGACAGTAACTGGGAAAGGTGTTAACACGCATCTTGACTTGCTCTTATTCTCCCCATGGGCACCTGCCCTTCGCAACTGCTGGATGAATCTAGACAGACTCCTGGCCTGACCCAATAAAGCTGCTCTTACGTACCCAAGTTCTTACCGTCTTTCCTGAATGGGAATCAAGAAACACAAGAACGAAGCAATCTGTGAACTTCTGGTTGAGCACAACCTGTCAAGAGAGCCACAGCACACATTGCAAAGGAGACAGCACAAACCCCAGGACAGGGATATGAACAACACCCACCCAGGAATGTGCTGACATGCAGGATGAGTGGCATGACAGAGACGTGAAAGTGCAAGTCTGCCTGGCTCACAGGTGACACTGCCAAACCATAGGGCTATGGCATGAGGCTCTGGGTGTGAAGAGTGTCCTGCCTGCCTGGGGGCAGACAAACAGGCACTTGCTGCACCACAGGAGCACACACCTCACACTGCACCAGTAGCAGAGTGTAGAGCAACATCATGACAGTGCCCACATTGTCCTGACAGCACATGCCAGGCTCACACTGTGAGAAGCCACAGCAGGCAGGGGCCCTGGACGGGGGAGAGAGGCTGCAGGTGGGTGATGGGCTGGGACTTACCAGGTACTGGGTTCCAGTTTCAGCGTTGTGGAAGTGCCGACAGCTCTGGGGAAAGCGGCTCAACAGCACTTTGATGAGGCTCTGATACCAGGAGACTGTCATGGTGAGGAAGCATCCCTGTGGGCGTGGAAAAGGGCTGATTTCAGCCTCCCTCTAGCCATGGCACAGCAGCCGTAATGCTACAGCAGCCTTCAGACCCCAAATCAGATGCATCCATCACAGCCCACTGAGAAGCGCTAACCCAGAGCTATCCACCCTCCATAGATGCAGTCTATGCAGCCTCCCCCTTCCCCTGCCAGCTAGGAGCTACGTTCCTGCCTCTATCTTCCCACCAAGCAGGAAGAAATGTGCCCTGCAGGCCCTTCACCCGGCACCCCACTCCCTCCCCAGAGCAGAACAGCAGCTGCTGTGCACCGTGACTCCATCCCTGCTGCTCACCAGCTGGGGGTCGACATCAGCAATGGATTTCCCATGCACGGCATCGAGCAGCTCCTCCAGCTCCACCAGCGAGAGCTTGCCCAGCTTCAGCTTGTCAGAAGCCAGAGGTTCCAGGAGGAAGAGGCGCTTCCAGA